AGAGGAAGGGAGGCAGCCGGCCTGGGGCGACTGCGGCTCCCAGCATGCGCTGCAGCACGGCCTTGCGACACGGCATGTTGGGAAATGTAGTTATCCAGTCTCGGTGAGGGAACCCGGCGGCGGCCCGTCACTTTCGCGCGCCTGCGCGAGGTGTCTAGCAAGGGCTGGGGTGGGAAGGGAAGGGAAGGGGGCAGGGCTGTGTTGGCAGGGTATGTCCTGAGGATGTCCCTAACTCTATGCTGAAAGTCAGGCTCCCTCCTGCATCACCTCTCCTCCTTCTCCCTGTAGTTCCAGTGAGCAAGGATCTCTGCACTGGCCTGGCCCACAGGCTATCAAACAGTAGCATCCCCATGTCCCAGACAAGGGTTGACACATCAGTGGACATTTACCACAGGATGATCCAGGATGGGGAAGGGAGGAGGGGAGAAATCAGGCTGCTGAAGAAACCTGTTACTGTACAGCTGGAAGGAACAGGCCAGGATCACTTACAGAAAGGAGCCAGGGAAAAACTTCAGGGTCACCCTAATAGTCTGATCTCACGTCAGACTCACTGTGGCAGCTGCACCTGCAAAACAAGCTGGCAGGCCTCACAGCAGTTTCCTCAGTGCTCCAAAACCCATCCCGCCGACAGCTCTAGCCGGTCTCTTGTCAGTCTCCAGAAAGAGCCTAACACTCAAGTCTCCTCTTATTTCAACAGTAGCAAACCACTGAACAGGTTCCTACTAAACCAGTTTTAAAGGGACAGAACCTTGTAACCATCCCATGTAAGCCATCACCCCACCCCAACAGCAACCTCAGCAGCAGTGGCATTTCCTACCAACCCTCTTACAACCTTCTCAGGTTGGGTGAAAGTTGGCCTACTAATAAATCAACGCTGCCGCTAAAAAATTTAGATGAGGCAGTCAATACAAATATGCCTGGACATGATCCCTGTTGGTAGGATTGGAGAGAGAGACATTCATGTCCAAGAGCGCAAGATTTTTTTAAAGATATAAAAGGAGTGATTTACAGCTCTCTTCCAACAATATTCAACTGGAATGGAGCTAAATCCCTAACCTATTGGTTTCTCGGTCTCAGTTCCCCAGTCAAGGGTGACACTTCCAGAGAGTAAGTGACCTACTAGCTGGCCGGCCCATTCACCACTGTCCCAATGTTTTTCTTTCATATGACATTTTAGAATTACAACATTTGTAGATTAATATCCAAATCTGATAACCATTCTACTGCTTCAGGGGTAGCTGCATGGATTAATTTTAGATCCCATTAAATGATCTAATCGGGTGATCGTTCACAACGTGTTGCACCATCTGAAAAATGGCACCACAGTGGAAACCCGAGGTCTTTGATTCTCCATTTGTGCTGTTCCAATGCATTCAGCACAGATTCGGGCAGCAAAGGCTGGGTGTCCGAGTGAGCCCTTTATTGAACACAGTCCAACTCTCCCATGCGTGCACATGCAGGAAGTGTCAGGGTGCACCTAGCAGCATGACAAACCAATACCTTAAATACAGTAACAAGATACAACAAAATGCAAGTCCCAGGGGGTTGAGTGTAGCCGTGCTAGTTTAACAACACAGCCAGACCAGGTCCTTTGGGGAAAGGTGATATCTAAATTTAGTCGGCCAAGACATCACCTTTCCCCAAAGAACTCGGTCTCACTACCAGTCCCCGCAGGCGGTGGCCGGGCCGACCCAGGCTGCGCTCCTGCCGCCCACGGTTATTTCCGGATGAGAAAGTCCTCGTACTGCAGCGTCGCCACCTTCTTCTCGTTGCGGAACTCGGCTCGGTCGATGCGGGACTTGGGGCTGCCCGTGTCCCGCAGCCACTGCTGTAGCTGCCGCACGGTGGCGGCCGGGCCCTGCACCTGCCCCTGCACCGTACCCCGCTCCGTGTTCCGGACCCAGCCGACCAGCCCCAGCTGCCTCCCCTCGGCCTGCGCGGGAAAAGGAGAGACAGGGGTGCCCCGCGTTAGAGCCGGCGCTGCGCATCGCCATCGCGGCCGCAGCCAGGGCAGAGAGCGGTGAGGCGGGGCGGGGCGGAGCCCACACCTGCGTGTGCTTGCGGAAGAAGACGCCCTGCACCTTGCCGAAGATCTCGTAGTCCACGGAGACGAGGCTATCCATGGCGGCACCGGCCTGGCACACAAGCACCGCGCACAGCGTCAGCAGCCAGCCCCGGCAGCCCCCCGCGGGCGCCATGGCGAGAACTCAGCGCGTGGACCCCTCCCCGCGCCCAATGAGGGCACCCTGCACCCCTGCCTCATAAATAATGCAAAAGGGGCGGGGACCTCGCCGCCCCGCCCCGGTCCACTCACCTACCTGCCGCCAGTAGGACCCGCCCCGACCACCCCAACGGCTGCACAGGGCCCGCCCGCCCACCGTGCGCCCAGCCTTTACGGGCGCGGGGTCATAGAGCCGAAGTCCGCCTGTGAGCAGAGCGGCTCCCAACCATC